TAGGAAAATTGGCATCAATAGCTATAAAAAAATTATAACTGGTAATTTAACCAAAAATTATAAATTGGCAAAATCATAGCCATTCATTAGATTGGGTGATTACTAATATTACCAAAATTAACCCTTAACAAAGGCCCATTATAGGCCCAAATGAATAAACGTTAATAAAGTCGGTAAACCCGGGGAAATTAAATTTATTTTTTCACTCGAGATTGTCTCCTTCCTTCCTCAAATTAAAAAACACGAAACCCTAAATTCGCCATAACAGAGAGCAACAGTTAAGGGCTTAGCTCAAAGCTAGAGCTAATAGAGAGAGAATCAAATCGAGAATGTCTAATCGGAAGTCTGGATTTGAAGGATCCGGCATAAATCGGCAAACTACTTACAGTTTCGAGCGATCTCAGGCACCGCAACGTCTCTACGTTCCGCCGTCTTCTCGCGGCGGAGATCACTCCGAGGATGCCGATCTAGATAACATTGATTATATGGAAAACGAAGAGGCTGAAGAAGACGTTGGGGACGGTGGCTCTGCTGCGGCGGCTGCTGCTAACGGCGGCGAGGATGATGATGAGATCGATCCATTAGACGCTTTTATGGAAGGAATTCACGAAGAAATGAAAGCTGCTCCACCTCCTAAGCCAAAGGAGAAACTAGAGAGGTACAAGGATGATGAAGATGACGATCCTGTAGAGAGTTTTCTCAAGGCGAAGAAGGATTTGGGTCTCACTCTAGCCGCAGATGTGCTCAACGCAGGTTATAACTCCGACGAGGAGGTTTATGCTGCAGCTAAGGCGGTAGATGCTGGGATGCTGGATTACGATTCCGATGATAATCCGATTGTTGTTGATAAAAAGAAGATCGAGCCAATTCAAGCTCTGGATCATAGCTGCATCGATTACGAACCGATTAATAAGGACTTCTACGAGGAGGTTGAATCAATATCAGGTAAGTCCTCCCAATCTTATTAGCATCTAAATTGAATTTTTGTGTTAGATTGGATTTGAACTGATAGAGTTTCTTAATTTAGGAATGAGTGAACAAGAAACTTCGGATTATCGTCAGAGTTTGGGAATTCGTGTGTCTGGTTTTGATGTTCCTCGGCCAGTTAAGACCTTTGAGGATTGTGGATTTTCCTCACAAATCATGAGTGCTATCAAGAAACAAGCTTATGAAAAACCTACAACCATCCAACGTCAGGCTTTACCGATTGTGTTATCTGGTCGAGATATTATAGGCATAGCTAAAACTGGTTCAGGTAAGACCGCAGCATTTGTTCTTCCAATGATTGTGCATATTATGGATCAGCCGGAACTTCAGAGAGAAGAAGGTCCAATTGGAGTCATATGTGCTCCAACTAGAGAATTGGCTCATCAAATATTCTTGGAAGCAAAGAAATTTTCAAAAGCATATGGCCTACGAGTCACCGCTGTGTATGGTGGAATGTCTAAACATGAACAGTTTAAAGAACTTAAGGCAGGATGCGAGATAGTTGTTGCTACTCCTGGTAGGTTGATTGACATGCTGAAGATGAAGGCTGTGACAATGACGAGAGCGACGTATTTGGTTCTTGATGAGGCAGATCGGATGTTTGACCTTGGTTTTGAGCCGCAAGTAAGGTCTATCGTTGGCCAGATTCGTCCAGATCGTCAGACTTTACTCTTTTCAGCCACTATGCCTTGGAAAGTTGAAAAGTTAGCGAGGGAAATCCTTTCAGATCCTATTAGAGTCACAGTTGGTGAAGTTGGGACGGCCAATGAGGATATTACACAAGTTGTCAATGTAATACCGTCAGATGCTGAAAAACTTCCTTGGTTACTTGAGAAGCTACCTGGAATGATTGATGAAGGTGACGTATTAGTGTTTGCTTCTAAGAAAGCCACGGTTGATGAGATCGAAGCTCAGCTTACTCTAAAGAATTTCAAAGTTGCTGCTCTTCACGGTGATAAAGACCAGGCATCACGAATGGAAACTTTGCAGAAGTTCAAATCTGGAATCTACCACGTGCTAATTGCCACCGATGTTGCTGCCCGAGGTCTTGACATTAAATCGCTGAAGACGGTAGTTAACTACGATATTGCAAAAGAAATGGACATGCATGTACATCGTATTGGTAGAACAGGTCGTGCTGGTGACAAAGACGGGGTTGCCTACACACTTGTTACACAGAGAGAGGCTAGATTTGCCGGTGAATTGGTAAACAGTCTGGTTGCTGCTGGTCAGAATGTGCCTCCAGAACTCATGGATCTCGCCATGAAGGTAATAACAGCTCTTCTTCAAGGATATCATTCTATTTAAATATGCTGTAATTTTACTTTCTAGTCTCTTCCATTCATGATATGATTGTTCATGCTACTAGCTCCATTCCACCACTCTAGTTTCAATTTGCATAAACAAAAACATGATTGTTGAGTGAAATTTACCTTTTGCAAATCAATAGGATGGTCGATTCAAGTCCAAGCGAGACGGAAGAAAAGGAGGTAAGCATATTTTAGCTTTATTCAGAATAAAATATCTTCTGCCAAAAACTGTGAACAGAAACCTTTCACTAGATTTGAACCCGAAAAGGAAAAGTTGTGATCAATGTTTTCTTTGCAACTGCACTTTTGCTAAGTAAGGGAATCCATCCAAAAACCTGTGCTTGATCTCTATCTTTTGTCACATAGGTGGTGGGAACAAAGGTCGT